AAATATTAAATTTAAATTATTTTATCTCTAATTAATCTTGAACTGATTGTAATTAAAAATTTTCAGCATCCTAAGAATATCCTAATAAATAATAATGAAACCAATAACACTGAGATCTTAATTTCTGGTTTTGGGTCAGCATGGAAATTTGATGATAGTTTGGTTTCATTATTTGATGAAGGAATGACATACGAATACTCCGACCCTCAAATTTTTATCAAACGTCGATTCACCCCAGACACTAAGTCGGATATATATAGCTTAGGAGTAATATTATGGGAACTTACAAGTGGAATTCGTCCTTTTTCGAAAGTTCCCAATAAACTCGCCTTAGCACGCCTTATTTCAAAAGGTAATCGAGAAAAAACTATTCGTGGAACGCCTTCAAGTTACGCAAAACTTTATAAAAAATGTTGGAATACTAATCCGAAAAAACGCCCGGAGCTTGATGAAATTTTGAGTAAAATTCAACAGTCTAGAAAAGCGACTGAAACAATTAGAAATCGTATATTTTAAGATTATCGTGTCGCAAAATCTGACAATTTCGAAATTATTTTATTATGAATACTTTAAAGTAAGCTACACATAAGATTAAATTTTTTTTGTAATCATTTAACTAAATATTAAGATTAAATTGGCAAAATCGGCAAAATCTAATCATTTTTATGTTAATACGCACATACGTACATACGTACGTACGTACTGATTATTTGGCGTTTGTGTAACTGTGATCACGTTTTTTAATGCAATTATTTAAGACCCTGGGCATCATCTGTTTAAAAAATTTTCGCTATCAATTTTAGGCCTGATTTATGTTACATCTGTTCTTGAATTTAATTTAATCGGATAGCAAAATTTTTTAGGTTTGGTGACGCTAAGGTATTTGTCAGGGACCCACACCATATCGGTCCAATCAGTAAATTTTTATGCATGCACGCAGTTTTTGAAGAAGTTTCTACATAACTTAACAATATGACGCGACTGAATGACGTAAATATTTCTGCACCTATGTTTTTGATCATCACTCGATTACTGCAAATGGTCATCTAGATGACCTGGATTTCGTTCTGCCAGTTAAAAAACCTCATTGTAGTGGGTGGATTTTCCTTTTAGTTAAATATAAATATGACAGTGTTAAATCCGTGTTTTCTACTAGTGAAACTAGTTATGAT